TAGATTATTCTATGGTCAAATGAGACCAAAATGTTTTTTAAATAATCTGCATATGCTGACTTTTAGCATATGCAGAGGATGAAGAGGATTTGGTGATACTACTACTCTTAATGATAGACATATCAGCATAAGGTACGGTACTTTTTTTATACCCTGAAAAAGAAAAGATTGGAAATTTTACCTGTAGATCTGAAATCAAGTCTCCTGGCTTGTCCCCCATGTATTCAATTAGGCCTCGGATTACGACTTCCCTCCTCTTTTCTATAGCAGCGGTTGGATCCTACGAAACAACATAGAAATAAAAAACACCACGAATTAGGAAGTATTCAGCACTTCTTATCTTGTCAACGCCTGTTGTAGATCAAAACAATGGTGCTTTAGAACAAGGACAAAAAGGAAAGATATTGATCTCAACTTTGTTCAATCTTAATTATTCAAAAGTGCATTTAAAATAAGTAGCACTGATCATTTTGCTGAAGAGAAAGAATGTAACCAGGGACAGATAAGTCACTGTTGTGGTTATAATAATGGTTATAATAATGTATAACTGCCACATTAAAGATAAGATAAAATAAGACACTGTTGTTATTGATCTGTTACTGGATAAATGTACGTGTCACTTTAGGCATGGACAGAATCACTCAGATTGTGCAAAAGACAGAAGTGTGAAACATGTTAAAAGTTAAAAAATATAGTCTGTGTAATAAAAAAGTCCTAGTGCATTATTGACTTAAATGTATTTATTTATTTATATATTTGTTTGATAGGGACAAGTGTTACACAATCAACATGTGAGACACTACAACATTTAACATTGTCCGTCCGTTAAAACACTTTTTACATTATAATATTCACATTATACAAAAGCAGGTGTTCTCCAACTCATTGACGCTCACACAACTGATTTGTTTTGAGAAATCGCTTCAGTTCACTAAAGTCAAAGTGACTTATTGTACAGTCTGACAGTGGTGGGGATTAGGCCACTGTGTGTGTTCCCCGCTTGAAGTCTAAAGCACTATATGCGAGGAAATCTGACCTAGGTGTCAGACACAGTAACTTAATAAAAGTTCAGACAGACAGAAATAGTTCTAACAGTAGGGTTGTTAAATGTGGTTTAATGAACGTCAGATCAATCTCGTCTAAATCGCTTCTCATAAACGAACTTATTATAGACAAGGGCTTGGATCTGTTAGCGCTCTCGGAGACTTGGCTCCAACAAGACGAGTGCGTTAGATTGAATGAGTGCACTCCTCCGACGCATGTTAACTACCAGAAAGCCAGAGCTACAGGTCGCGGCGGTGGTGTTGCGATTATATCACACACCAACTTGGTTCTTAGTCCCAAAACCAACAACGCTTTTCACTCGTTTGAAAACTTAACACTTTCAATCACCTGTCCTGGGTGGAGAAAACAAAAAGCAGTACTATTTATAGTTTTATACCGACCTCCTGGTCCTTACAGCGAGTTCCTAACAGAATTCTCTGACTTCATTTCAAACCTAGTTTTGGAATGGGAAAACATAGTTATAGCTGGAGACTTCAATATACATGTGGACGACAGCACTGACAGCTTAAACAAAGCTTTCAGCGCCGTACTAGATGGTGTTGGTTTTACTCAGAATGTCGAGGAACCTACTCACATTCATAACCACACCTTGGACCTTGTCCTGACCTACGGCTGTGATGTCTCCAATGTTGACATCCAGCGTCAAAGCTCGTTGCTGTCTGACCATTTCTTGATCACGTTTGATCTCGCTTTGGAGGACTTTCCTGTCCCGCAAGATAAAACCATAATGAAAAGAACCTTAAATGATAAATCTATCACAAGGTTCAAAGAACTAATACAGCCTATGTTGAATACTGCTGCAGGTGAACCTGTTCACAGCAGCTGCAGTCCCTCAGTCATCGACCAAACGGTGGGCAACACTATGGAGTCTTTAAAATCTGCATTAAATGCAGCAGCTCCTTTAAAACAGAAAACCATTAGGATTAGATCATCGTCGCCCTGGTACAGTGTTCAACTCCACACTTTAAAACAGGACGTCAGAAAATTGGAGAGGCTATATCGCCACTCCCACTCGGAGCCTGTCCACAGGGAGTGGAAAGCAGGTCTCCGAAACTACAAGAAGGCCCTTCGCGGGGCTCGAACTCAATACTATTCAACTTTAATAGAAGCGAATAAAAACAACAGTAGATTTTTGTTTGGTACCGTCGCTAAACTCACAAACTGCCATAGCGCAATCGAGCCTAAAATTCCAAGCTCACTGAGCAGTGTCGACTTTCTCCACTTCTTTAATAATAAAATTACATCCATCCGTGACAAGCTGGAGGAGGTTGCCCCTGCTGTTAGTGGTGGACAGGTTGAAGCGGCATACGTGACTTCCCACTTAGACTCTTCAGTGGGCCTTAATAAATTCATGGCTGTGAGCCAAGCAGAGGTGATCTCTGTGGTCACATCCTCAAAAGCCTCAACTTGCATGTTAGACGCAGTCCCGACATGGCTCTTCAAAGACATACTTCCTTTGATAATTGAGCCTATCGTAAATATAATAAACGCATCCATACAATGTGGCTATGTCCCACAAGCTTTTAAAACCGCGGTAATCAAACCCCTTCTGAAGAAAACAAACCTGGACCCAGAAATACTTACAAACTACAGACCGATCTCGAACCTCACTTTTATATCTAAAATCCTGGAAAAACTTATAGCTGAGCAGCTCCGCTGCCACCTGCAGGAAAATGATATGTTTGAAGTCTTTCAATCAGGATTCAGAGCTCATCATAGCACTGAAACGGCACTAGTCAAAGTCACAAATGACTTACTACTAGCTGCCGATAATGGACAAGTGTCAGTGCTGGTCCTACTGGACCTTAGTGCTGCATTTGACACAATAGACCACAGCATTCTACTGCAGAGGCTAGAATGTGATATAGGTCTTAGAGGAACAGCCCTTGGCTGGTTTAAATCCTATTTATCAGATCGATATCACTTCGTCAATGTGAATCAGGACTCGTCGCCTTATTCTGGAGTGGAATTCGGTGTGCCGCAGGGTTCGGTACTCGGACCGATTCTTTTTACTCTCTACATGCTGCCACTGGGAAACATTATTAAAAAGCATGGAATTAATTTCCACTGCTATGCAGATGACACACAGCTTTATCTGTCGATGAAGCCTAATCAGACAGATCAGCTAGAAAAGCTCAGTGCCTGCATAAAGGACCTTAAAATGTGGATGACTCTTAACTTCCTACTTCTCAACCCGGAGAAGACAGAAGTGATCCTACTCGGTCCGAAGCGCCTGCGTGACTCCCTCACTAACCAGATGGTTACTCTCGATAATGTCAGTATAATACCCAGTAACACTGTGAGGAATCTTGGAGTCATTTTTGACCAAGAACTCTCCTTCAAGGCTTATATAAGCCAAGCAACAAAAACGGCGTACTTCCACTTACGGAACATCGCTAAAATTAGGAATTTCCTTCCTAAAAGTGACGCGGAAAAACTCATTCACGCGTTTGTCACCTCAAGGCTTGACTACTGTAACGCTTTACTGGCAGCGTGCCCTAAAGCCTCTTTGAAGAGCTTCCAGCTCGTTCAGAATACAGCAGCTAGGATCTTAACAGGTACCAAAAGGAGGGAGCACATAACTCCGGTGTTAAAATCACTCCACTGGCTCCCTGTGGAGTACAGAATAAAGTTTAAAATCCTACTCTTAACATATAAAGCCATAAATGGCTTGGCTCCTTCTTATCTCCAAGACACGTTAGTGTCGTATCAACCAAGTCGAGCGTTGCGCTCACAAAACGCCAGACGTCTGGTGGTCCCTAAGGTCTCAAAGGTCACTGTTGGTGGCAGAGCATTTAGCTACCAAGCTCCTTTACTGTGGAATCAGCTTCCCATTTATGTTAAGGAAGCAGATACGGTCTCCACATTCAAGGCCAGGCTTAAAGCACTTTACTTTAATTTAGCATATAATTAGGTAATATATAATATGTAGTGTATATATTATATATATATGCTGTATTATGTTATATATTATGTTATATATTATTCAATAATGTATTGTGTTATGTTGTATATTATGTTATATATTATGCTGTATGTTATTCTTTATTCAAGGCTAGGTTTAAAACAGTCCTCTTTAGTTTAGCATATGGCTAGGAAGGTAAGACTCGGAGAAGGTTAAACTCCTCAGAGTGTTAGTCAAGCTGCATAGGGAGTCAGTTTGCTGGGAGAAGTATGGTAACTTGAGCACTATCCTCTCCTCCTTCCTACTTTATCTGTTTAGCATTTTTAGGATTCTGACTGTAGTTTGTTCATTGCTATTCACCCGTTGTCCCATTGTCTGTTTCATGGTACGATGACGGGATCTCTGAGCCTGGCCTCTTCCATCTACACCTGCGGACTGCCCCGCCCGACCCGCCTGGGAGTGCTTCAGTCCTGCACCGGACCTGTCCACGTTCAGCGTCCACTGGTCCACGTCCTGTAGCTAGCTTAGGTCCTAGATCATTAGTCTGTCCGTCCGGAGGAGCGGATCCCTTTCTCATATGGGTCTCCCTCCCTGTGGGTTTCCCTAGTTCTCCTCCAAGGTTTCTCACTTTTTCCCACTGGGTTTTTTAAGAGTTTTTCCTTGTCGATGCAGGAGGGTCTTGTTGGACAGTTAGTGTCCAACAGAAAGGATTGGTGATGATCAGGACACTTTAGCATTCTACAACATGTATGGACATTTTCTTCTGTGTGTGCTTTATACTGTATTCTTCATGTGTTTTAACTGTTGATTCTCTGACCTGTGTTGGTGATTTCAATGGTTTTGTTAAGTCCTCTGAGATGACTTCTGTTGTGACCTAGGGCTATACAAGAATAAATTGTATTGTATTGTATTGTATTGTATAGGCACTGAATGAGTCTCAGTGAGAACAAATGAAACTGACATCTGAGGTTGATCAATATGAGGATCTTGGTCGTTTCTGGTTCAGATCGCCCGTCCCCGCAGTTTGAAAATGACATTGATTGAGATAGTCCGTATATTTGAGAGTGTATTGTGTGTATCGCAGGTTTCCCAGACTTCCCTGAGGCGGTGCATTGGTGTGGTTCCTCAGGACACAGTGCTTTTCAACGACACCATCGCAAACAACATCAGGTACAGCCGCATCAGGGCGACGCAGCAGGAGGTGGAGCAGGCAGCCAGGGCGGCCGACGTACACGCCCGGATTCTGCAGCTTCCTCAGGGTCAGACTGTGTCCTCTTCTCCTCCGTGGCCCATGAATCTGGTTCATGATCTTGGTTCTGATTGTGGTTAGGTTATGAGACGGAGGTGGGAGAGCGGGGCCTGAAGCTCAGCGGAGGAGAGAAGCAGCGAGTGGCCATCGCTCGGACCATCCTCAAGCAGCCACGGATCGTCCTGCTCGATGAGGTGGCCGACCGCCGTGGAAGCAACGAGTTATTGATGTATTCTTAATCTCATTCATATTTGTTTATTCTTTTATTCACCTTCCAGGCCACCTCCTCCTTGGACACACAAACAGAGAGAAACATCCAGGCGTCTTTGGCAAAGATCTGCGCCAACAGAACCACAATAGTCGTGGCCCACAGGTGAAACCACTAAACCTAAAAATCTATGTATTTACTGCATTTAGGGACAGTGTGTAATAAACATGCACTAAATGAGAGTTGGACAGTACCAGGTAAGAGCAGGAGAGATATTGTGCACCTGTCGTTCCTGATTGTGGAGTATAATAATCATCGGAGAGAGGACTGACAGATGAAAGGAAAGGCAGGGTCACAGCGAAACAGAGACAGGATTAAAATGTAAAGAAAGGGTTTGAGAGCTTAGATGATGAAGCGGATTGAAAAGTGTGAGACGGCGTGTGGTGACGGGTTAACAAAGGAAAGACATGGACCGGTCCGTTGTTCATCAGGCAGAGTGAAAGTCAAAGCTCTGACCCTCGCTGGGGTCCGAACATGTCACGGGTTCAATGTCACGGAATTAACTCCAAGAACAATACTTTAGAATCAAAAACATTACTTTACTACATATGTATTATTCAAGAGGTTGTTGTAGCAGGTTCTATCAGGCAGGTATTACTTTATAAAGTTAAATCTGCTCCAGTGTCTGAGACTGAAGAGAGATCATAAAACAGATGGACCAGGCTTAATGCTCCTTTAATCTCTAGTTTAAAGGTTGACATTTAATTTTCTAGATTGAATAAACTGATCTGGTTTTAACTTCAGATAATGTGCACTGCTTAATTATTAGTGTATTATTTTACAGTCATACAGAGAGCGTATGGCCAGACACAATGATTGTCCCAGTGTCGAGTTGTCAAAGTTTAGTAGAACATAAAAACAAGTTTATCTCTTGTATAAACACAGAACCATAAACTATTTCCATGTTTGACTCCTGTGACGGAGCGTTGTGCGACATCACAAGTTTCAGCTTCAGTATGATGTGAGTCAGAGCAGGTCTCAGTCTCTACCCGGGACAGGAGCCATAGTCCAGGTCTGTGCTGCAGCGACATGTGCCGGGGAGAGGCCTGGATGAGAGCGGCTGACGTCAGCAGCCTCCTCGGGGGAGACTCCACCTGTCTCTGCCTGTCTCTGCCTGTCTCTGCCCTGTCTCTGCCTGTCTCTGTCTCTGCCTGTCTCTGCCCTGTCTCTGCCTGTTTCTGCCTGTCTCTGTCCTGTCTCTGCCTGTCTCTGCCTGTCTCTGTCTCTGCCCTGTCTCTGCCTGTTTCTGTCTCTGCCCTGTCTCTGCCTGTTTCTGCCCTGTCTCTGCCTGTCTCTGTCATGTCTCTGCCCTGTCTCTGCCTGTCTCTGTCCTGTCTCTGCCTGTCTCTGCCCTGTCTCTGCCCTGTCTCTGCCTGTCTCTGTCATGTCTCTGCCCTGTCTCTGCCCTGTCTCTGCCTGTCTCTGCCCTGTCTCTGCCTGTCTCTGCCCTGTCTCTGCCCTGTCTCTGCCTGTCTCTGTCCTGTCTCTGCCTGTCTCTGCCCTGTCTCTGCCCTGTCTCTGTCATGTCTCTGCCTGTCTCTGCCCTGTCTCTGCCCTGTCTCTGCCCTGTCTCTGCCTGTCTCTGTCATGTCTCTGCCCTGTCTCTGCCCTGTCTCTGCCTGTCTCTGCCTGTCTCTGTCATGTCTCTGCCTGTCTCTGTCATGTCTCTGCCTGTCTCTGCCCTGTCTCTGCCTGTCTCTGCCCTGTCTCTGCCTGTCTCTGTCATGTCTCTGCCTGTCTCTGTCATGTCTCTGCCTGTCTCTGTCATGTCTCTGCCTGTCTCTGTCATGTCTCTGCCCTGTCTCTGCCCTGTCTCTGCCTGTCTCTGTCATGTCTCTGCCTGTCTCTGCCCTGTCTCTGCCTGTCTCTGCCCTGTCTCTGCCTGTGACCCAGGTTCCCATCAAATATTAAAGGGGAACATCCAAAGATAGTCCCTATAAGTGGTGCTCTGCAGGGGCCTAAAGAGGCTTTCAGCTTTGGGACGACCAGGACTCTGAGCTTATTGAGATTCTTTTTTTTTGTTTTTATATGCATGATTTCCTACTTTTACGTGAAAAATACACATTGGATCAAAATCATAGACTATGAGATATGTTAATTTGTTCTATTCTGGTTGTTTTTGGGACACAAAGACAACCAGAATAGAACATTGTAAACTCTTTTCTATAAGTCAAATGTTTGAACTCTGTGTCTTGGACACAAAAGCACTCTCCATTCTTGGGTCCGTGTGAGTCCAGCCTGGTCCTGGTCTGTACGTGTGGCGCACACACAGAGATGGCTTTAATCAGGCTCTCATCATAAATAGTGACTTTAATAATTCACAGAGAGGTTCACCCAGAGTTCTCCAGCCCAGAGCAGCCCACTCAGGATGAGCATGTGTGGGTTAGTGTGGCCTGAAACTCACCGTCCGGAACAACAGTCAAATATGTCTCTGCAGAGTGTTCCAAGGGCCTCTCACTTTCATTCGACTTTTGGATTCATGCGACATCCTGAGTGGTTCCTTCATTATTCTCACTGCCATGCTTCAGTAGAAAGTTAAAATCTTCAAAACAAATGTGACACACACAAACCCTGAGGAGCTTGCATAAGAAAATTGCCTCATTGCTGCCGTTTTTGAGGATTTTACTGATTCTCAAGACCCACAGAATATTGTGTGCTATGACTGTGTTAAATATGAAACCAGATTCTGAAAGACTGATTTGTCTACTTTTATCAGCAAAAATAAGTTGGTTTCTTGCTAGTTTTGTTCTCCTGTAATCCCCAGTCCACTAGAGGGAAGTTTGACAGAAATCACCAGTCTCTGACAAATACGTAAATGGCTGTCGATGAGTTAAAGGGAGAAAGCAACTGTGTTATTAAATGTATTATCTGTGTTTTGCAAATGTCAAAAAACCAATAGAAAACATTCTCATGATTATAACTGTAGAATATTTGAATCCAATTTAGCTTTGAGATTTACCCAAAAAGCTTCAGTTCTGGTTTCCACATCTGTATTGAATATTATTGGCATCATCCAAGGCCATAATGTAGCGTGTGTTGCAGGTTGTCCACAGTGGCAGACGCAGACCAGATCTTGGTGCTGCACTCGGGCCACGTCGCGGAGAGAGGAAGGTGAGACCGGACCCCGTCACATCAGTACTCTCCATCAGTACTCTGCGTCAGTACTTTCCGTCAGTACTCTCCGTCAGTACTCTCCGTCAGTACTCTCCGTCAGTACTCTCCGTCAGTACTCTTCGTCAGTACTCTCCGTCAGTACTCTCCGTCAGTACTCTCCATCAGTACTCATCAGTACTCTCCATCAGTACTCTTCATCAGTACTCTCCATCAGTACTCTCCATCAGTACTCTCCATCAGTACTCTCCATCAGTACTCTCCATCAGTACTCTCCATCAGTACTCTCCATCAGTACTCTCCATCAGTACTCTCCATCAGTACTCTCCATCAGTACTCTCCATCAGTACTCTCCATCAGTACTCTCCATCAGTACTCTCCATCAGTACTCTCCATCAGTACTCTCCATCAGTACTCTCCATCAGTACTCTCCATCAGTACTCTCCATCAGTACTCTCCATCAGTACTCATCAGTACTCATCAGTACTCATCAGTACTCATCAGTACTCTCCATCAGTACTCTCCATCAGTACTCTCCATCAGTACTCTCCATCAGTACTCATCAGTACTCTCCATCAGTACTCTCCATCAGTACTCTTCATCAGTACTCTCCATCAGTACTCTCCATCAGTACTCTCCATCAGTACTCTCCATCAGTACTCTCCATCAGTACTCTCCATCAGTACTCTCCATCAGTACTCTTCATCAGTACTCTCCATCAGTACTCTCCATCAGTACTCTCCATCAGTACTCTCCATCAGTACTCTCCATCAGTACTCTCCATCAGTACTCATCAGTACTCATCAGTACTCTCCATCAGTACTCTCCATCAGTACTCATCAGTACTCTCCATCAGTACTCATCAGTACTCTCCATCAGTACTCTCCATCAGTACTCTCCATCAGTACTCTCCATCAGTACTCTCCATCAGTACTCTCCATCAGTACTCTCCATCAGTACACTCCATCAGTACTCTCCATCAGTACTCTCCATCAGTACTCTCCATCAGTACTCTCCATCAGTACTCTCCATAAGTACTCTCCATCAGTACTCTCCATCAGTACTCTCCATCAGTACTCTCCATCAGTACTCATCAGTACTCTCCATCAGTACTCATCAGTACTCTCCATCAGTACTCTTCATCAGTACTCTCCATCAGTACTCTCCATCAGTACTCTCCATCAGTACTCTCCATCAGTACTCTCCATCAGTACTCTCACATCAGTACTCTCCATCAGTACTCTCCATCAGTACTCTCCATCAGTACTCTCCATCAGTACTCTCCATCAGTACTCTCCATACTTCAGGTTTTATTTTATGTTTTTTGATGTGGTTTTTTTGTTCCCTTTTTTTCATGGTAATGCAACAAAATATTCAATTCAATTCTTAATTTCAGACCCAAGAGTAAAAGGGTCATACCAGAAGACACACAACAAAGGATTAAAAGTGTAACAAGAATGCAGCAGATACAAGAGTAAAACATGAAAGAAAGAAGAGAAACTAATCTTATAAACTCCTACCTCATTTACATAAAGACATTTACAAATTAGACCGAACTGGCAAAAAAAATACAAAAATCGCTCAAACCAATTAATTATACTGTACTTACTCTGATGTCACCACTGCAAAAAATGATAGGTGTGTGTGTGTCCTGAACTGTGTGTCGGTCTGAATATGTGTTTATGTGTGTGTCCTGAACTGTGTGTCTGTCTGAATATGTGTTTATGTGTGTGTCCTGAATTGTGAAGCGTCTTTGAGTTTTTGAAAAGCGCTGCATAAAACCGATGTGTTATTATTATCATTATTAACACATAATGACAGTGACACACAATAGCACAGTGGACACACAATAGCACAGTGGACACACAATAACACAGTGGACACACAATAGCACAGTGGACACACAATAGCACAGTGGACACACAATAGCACAGTGACACACAATAACACAGTGACACACAATAGCACAGTGGACACACAATAACACAGTGACACACAATAGCACGGTGACACACAATAGCACAGTGGACACACAATAGCACAGTGACACACAATAGCACAGTGGACACACAATAGCACAGTGACACACAATAGCAAGGCAAGGCAAGTTTATTTATATAGCACAATTCATACACAAGGCAATTCAAAGTGCTGAACAAAACAAGAAAGCATTAAAATCATAAATTATCACAGAACATTAAAAAGAAAGATAAAAATATATAATCCCTCAGTTGTAGCACAGCTAAACAGAACTGTCTTTAACCTGGTTTTAAACATTGTCAGAGAGGAGGCCTGTCTCACATCTTCAGGAAGACTGTTCCAGATTTTAGCAGCATGAATCTGAAAAGCAGCCTCCCCATGTTTAGTTCTGACTCTGGGCACTAACAGGAGTCCAGTCCCTGTGCTCCTCAGAGTCCCAGCAGGAGTCCAGTCCCTGTGCTCCTCAGAGTCCCAGCAGGAGTCCAGTCCCTGTGCTCCTCAGAGTCCCAGCAGGAGTCCAGTCCCTGTGCTCCTCAGAGTCCCAGCAGGAGGCCAGTCCCTGTGCTCCTCAGAGTCCCAGCAGGAGGCCAGTCCCTGTGCTCCTCAGAGTCCCAGCAGGAGTCCAGTCCCTGTGCTCCAGAGTCCCAGCAGGAGTCCAGTCCCTGTGCTCCTCAGAGTCCGGGCTGGTTCATATGGGACTAACATGTCACTAATATATTTTGGTGCGAGGCCATGGAGAGACTTGTACACAAGCAGAGCTGTTTTAAAGTCTATTCTCTGAGCCACAGGAAGCCAGTGCAGAGACCTGAGGACCGGACTAATGTGGTCGTACTTCCTGGTTCTAGTCAGGACTAATATGGTCATACTTCCTGGTTCTAGTCAGGACTAATATGGTTATACTTCCTGGTTCTAGTCAGGACTCGAGCTGCTGCATTTTGAATGTACTGCAGCTGTTTTACAGGCTGTTTGGACAGACCTGTGAGCAGGCCATTGCAGTAGTCTAACCTACTGGAGACAAATGCATGGATAAGAATCTCCAAGTCTGCTTTAGACACTATGTTTTTGATCCTGGCAATGTTTTTTAGATGGTAAAAAGCTGCTGATGTTACTGATTTGATGTGGCTATTAAAATTTAAGTCTGAGTCCAGTATTACCCCCAGATTTCTGACCTTGTTTGAAGGTTTTAGGGAGAGAGACTGTAGGTGACAGATGACGCTCTCTCTTTGTTTCTGGGGACCAAAGACAATCATTTCAGTTTTGTCTGCGTTTAGCTGAAGGAAGTTGTTTTGCATCCACTCACTGATCTGTTGGATACAGTGAAGGAGTGAGTCCACTGGTCCATGTTCTCCTGCAGTCAGTGAGACATAGATCTGAGTGTCGTCTGCATAGTTATGATAGGAAACTTTGTTTCTGCGTATTAACTGACCTAACGGCAGCATGTAGAGATTGAACAGAAGAGGTCCCAGGATCGACCCCTGTGGGACTCCACAGGTCAGGGCCATATGATCTGAGACACAGTTTCCAATCTCCACAAAGTACTTCCTGTCTTCAAGGTAAGACCTAAACCAACTTAGGGCGGTGCCAGTGACGCCAACCCAGTCCTCTAGTCTCTGTAAGAGGATCTCATGGTCGACGGTGTCAAAGGCAGCACTTAGATCTAACAAGATTAAGATTGAGACTTTGCCTGCGTCAGTGTTCAGCCGGATATCATTTGTAACCTTAACGAGAGCAGTCTCAGTGCTGTGGTGGGGTCTAAAGCCGGACTGAAACATATCAAATGAGTTGTTGATTATAAGAAATCTAGTAAGCTGTAGGTAGACAACTTTCTCAAGGACTTTCCCCATAAATGGCCGATTTGAGATGGGACGATAGTTGTTAAGTACCGTAGCATCGAGACTGCTCTTTTTTAGCAGGGGCCTGATGACTGCAGTTTTCAGGGCCTTTGGGAATATTCCAGAATGAAGGGACATGTTTACTATCTGTGTGAGTGAAGGTAACAGACTGCTCAGAACAGACTTCAGAAATCTAGTGGGTAGTACATCCAAGCTGCATGTGGAGGAGCTCAAACTGGAGATTATCTCTTGGACAGTTTTATCATTTACAGGTGCAAAGTGAGTTAGCTCAGAGAGCCTTTCAGGCTGTTGGATGGTTATCTGTGGATTGGAGACAATGGCGTTTTTGATGCCTTGAACCTTGTCATTGAAAAAATTAGCAAACTCATTGCATTTACGTTTGGAAGTAAGCTCTAATGGCATTTGAACAGGGGGGTTTGTTAATCTATTAACTGTTGAGAACAGAACACGCAGATTGTTGCTGCAGCCTTCAATCATTTCAGAAAAATACCTTTCTCTCGTACTACGTAGCACCCGGTTAAACTCGCACAACTTATCTTTGAAGATCTCGTAATCTACCTGGAGGTTGGACTTGCGCCACTTCCGCTCGGCCCTCCGGCACTTTCTCTTTTGTGCCCTGACCGAGTCTGCTTTAGCCCACGGCGCCTTCTGCTTATTTTTCACTATTTTAACCTTCACAGGGGCAACGGTATCCAGAACATTCAAAACACTAGAGGTGACAGAGTTAAACAGTTCATCTACAGTAGAATACGATGCATTCTCAAAGTTTATCATTTCCATAAATAGTTCACTCGTATTTTCATTTATGCGCCTTCTTCGAACAGTTGCAGAGTCCACTGGTGGTTTGTTAGTGAAACACATGTAAAAAAAAACACAGAAATGATCCGAAAGAGCAACATCGACCACGTTTACATTTGAAATAATCACCCCCTTTGTAACTAACAGATCTAGAGTGTGCCCTCTGCTGTGGGTGGGGCCACTTACGTGCTGAGTGAGATCAAAGGATTCAAGTACAGAACTCAGCTCATTTGCATTCCTGTCATCAACATTATCCACATGAATATTAAAATCACCTGTAATAACCAAACTATCAAAATCTGTGCATACAACTGAAAGCAACTCTGTAAAATTATCAATAAAACTGTGACATGACTGCGGTGGCTTGTATAGGACAACGAAGAGTATTGGAGGAGATTATTTTTGTTGTATTTTAAAAGACACATATTCAAATGACGAAAACTTCCCAAGAGACATTCTATGGGAGACAAAGTGGTCTCTGAAAATGGCAGCTAGCACAGTGGACACACAATAGCACAGTGAACACACAATAGCACAGTGAACACACAATAGCACAGTGGACACACAATAGCACAGTGACACACAATAGCACAGTGACACACAATAGCACAGTGGACACACAATAGCACAGTGACACACAATAGCACAGTGGACACACAATAGCACAGTGGACACACAATAGCACAGTGGACACACAATAGCACAGTGGACACAGCCCAGAGTGATCCGTGCTCAGGCCTCTCAGTGGAAAAGTGTTACTGATTATGCCTAAAACAGCTTCAACACATTTGTAAGCGTGTTATTAATACTATCAACAACATCGTGCAGCTGCAGGGTCCAAAGAAGAGCCAAGATTCCATTCACGGATGGCAAAAAACAAGTTGGGTTTACTTTTGGGAGTGTAGAGTTTGCTTTTTTAGATTATTAGGTGATTAAATTACTTGTTTTGGCTCCTGGACGCTCACGATAATTGTTTTCTTCTCATTTAAAGCAGCAGTATTTAAAAATGTGGCCAAAAGTGGTACTGCAGCTCTCCCACTCTCCCTGACTCAGGTTGCCAGATATGCAGACGAATCCAGCTGGGACCATAACAGCTGAATAGACAAGAGTTTTGTCAACAACAAATCTATAACCAACACCTTTTTACAAAGATAGAAATCCTGGTTTTATTCCTTATTTTGTCGTTAATGATTTGAGAATCATAACGAGACCTTTTTTAGTTCTGCGCCACATGGTACTTTACCAGTGAGATTAGCTCCACGCGGTGAGTTCTGGCGCCCGGATCACAGACTTTCTGATTGGTGAAACGGTGGAGGGCGGGACATCGAAATGAAAACAATAACAAGATTTAGAGGCTGGAAAAGTAATTTAGAAATTCAAATATCTCTAAACTACTGTTATCA